AAAAATAAATAAAACATTTTTAATATTACAGTACAGTATCTTGAAAAGTACAGCAGACACATGAACTAACTTACGTGATTGGACATGCGAATACACGTTCACAACTTTGAAAGTTTGCAACTTGAAGGTTCATATGTAAGGTACTCACTATATACTCTTATAGGGATGCTTAAAATGAAGCAGTGGGTCTAGCTCTTATCAGACTAAACCATTCATACAGTTACTAGTCTTTCACATAATGGGAATGCACATTTTTAAGGCATTATATTCTTATTGTTTATTCCTACTTCTATCACAGTGAATTGGAATATCTGCTACCCTCAAATTTGCCATCTTTATGTAAGAATTTTAAAAATTCTTTGTCAAATTGACTGACAGGGAATTTCATTGTTCAAATTTTCATTTCTTTACTTCTTTATGAGGTTGACTGTAAGTATTCATATATTTGTTGACAAATTCGTACTTCTCCTTTTATGATTGACTTTTTGTGCTGTCCTTTTTTCTTACTAATCTGTAAAATTATTTTTGTTTTGCTAAGAGTTTTTTAAGTGAATAAGAAGACTTTTATTTCTAAAACTGGCCTTGATTTCTAATTTTCCATCAAGACACCAGATGCTTTCAGAATATTTAGCTCACTAATAATTAGTTCACAATTCCATTTCAAGTGCTCCTCTGCCTTCCTTTGGGTAGAATCCACACAACCTGGGAGATTTACTTCACCACAGTTGGTTGCCAGCAGCAGAAGCAGGGGCTGCTGTGGCTGCCTTTTTGATCCAGGTGGTAAGAGCTTTCTCATATGTTAAAAAATTCACCCTATGGTGGTTTTTTGTGGGTTTTTTTGGCTTTGCTTTGTCAGATTTTATTTTGGAAATTGAGTAACTGGGTGAATACCACGTGGCTGGTAAGGTGTAGCCCCAGGATTATGGGAGGCAGTAGGCCAATCAGCTGACAGTAATATTAGCTGATATACTTTTACATGTATCCATTAGCCCTACTTAGTCCACCTTGCAGACAATAAGGAACCAAACAATACCCCAGGGTGTGTGTGGTAGGGGGTGAAGGAGAATAAGGACAGATGTGAATGGGTGTGTGGGTACTGTTTAGGTGAGGCTCTGGAAGACACAGATGGATGATTAGTGTTTTTTGAGTATGTTAAAAAAAATTTTTGAGGAGAATTCAGTAAGTGTCTTTTCTCAAAATTCCCAATAAAAACAACTAGATATGAACTTAGACTACAGAAAAGACAGAATTAAAAACTTATGGACCTATCTTTTATATATGTTAAAAACATTGTTTACTGAAATTTTAAATTTTCTATCCCAGTTTGATAGCTTGATGTTTGTCATATAATTTATCTTGAAAAATTGATATTTGTAATTTTTTGTTAATAATATGTAATCTTTGTATTTTTAAAAATTGATTCCACTTGAAGATTAAACATTAAGTAAAAATTTTTTTTTACATTTAACTCTGCACTATTATTGCAGCCTTTCTCTGCCACACTTTTGTCCCCTATGACTCAGTCTCTAAGAGCACAAGATCTTTAAACAATGCTAATACCTCCCTCTCTCCTCCCCACCTCGTGCTTACAATCTTGGTGGCCTCTTATTAGAATAAGAACTTAATTTCTTACCTTGGCTTACAAAGTCTTACAAATTCTTCTATTTTCCCATCAGTCACTCGACTCTAGGCTCACTAGTCTCTTTTCCTTGAACTCACCAGCCTTTTCTTGTCCTGGGTGTCATACCAGCTGTTCTTTTGGTGGAATGCATTTCTCTCAGTTGAGGTTCCGATTCCAAGCCCACCTCTTCAGAACAGCCTTCCCCAATCATCTGGTTCTTGTCTATCGCAACATCTCATCTGAATTCCACACACAGAACATGAGACCGACGTTCTCTTGTTCGGTATCAACATCCACTATCCATATGCTCCTCTAAAGAGCTGTGTCTTGCTCACTATGCATTCCAGTTCCAGAATAGTGCCTGGTTATAGTAGAGACTCAATAAGTATTCGTTACATACATTTAATTCTTTTGTCCATTTAAGCTTTATCTTATTGTGTGGGGTGAGACAGAAATCTATTTTTATTTTTCTCAATAAGTAATTGACTTTCCTGATTCCATTTATTGGAGTGAAAATTACTCATCCTTTTATCATAAGATGTTGCCTCTATCAAGTATTTACATTTTGATACTTGGTGTTCTGTGGGTTTTCTAGTCTATTCTACTGACAATTCAATTTTATACCATTTCACTGTTTTAAATGCAGTGTTTTTCAATTCCAGTATTTAATTGTAATGCTTCTCACATTTATCCCCTCTCCCTCATCAAGCCTCCATTTTTAAGATTTTCTTGACGTCTCACTTGATTTTTTATGAGTTTGATAGTTGTGGCATTAGTCATATGTTAATTTGTGGAAAACCGCCATTTAAAAAATATTATCAACCGTGTTAGATTTTCTATTTCCCTATACTCTCATTGTATATCAATTTAAAAATTCTTTGTTAGCCTATTAAATTCACCAGGGTTTTCTTCTAGCTTTTCTTTTCTTTTATATTAAAATATTTGACTCATTTGACACTTATTTTGGTGTGAGAGGATGAAGATCCAGCTCTATTTTTGCCCCAGATAGCCAGTCATTGAGTAACCTAACTTTATCCCAGGGATCTGAAACAGCCTTTATCATATGCTAAATTTCTATCCACATAAATTTGGGATTACTTCTTGACTCTATTGATTGTCTATTCTCTTACAATATATTTAATTATTGTAACTTTACCAAGTTTTGTTAGTGAGCAGAGCTAGTTCCCTCTCAGCACTATTCTTTTTCATATTGACTTCCAGTCATTTTTACCTGCTTAAAAATTTTTAAGTTGGATTTTTGAATCATTTTCTAAAATTCTCACCTCCCCTCAAACTGTCTTCAACTTAATTTCATTGAAAATGCAGACTGAGATGGGGAGAAACCACACTTTGGCAATACTAAATCTCCATACATAGTACAAGTCATTTTTTAAAATGTCTTTTTCTTGGACTCTCAGTGGGGATCTTTTTTCCCATTATATTTGGTTATTGCTGGCATATAGAAAAGCTTTTGGGTTCTATTCTTTTTCTGGGACTGCTGTAACAAAATATCACGAACTGGGTGGCTCAAAGCATCAGAAATTTATTGCCTCACCTTTCTGGAGATTAGAAGCCTGAAATCAAGGTATCAGCAGGGCTCTACTATCTTGCCCGCCCTGTGGGACAATCTGTTCCCTGCCTTTCTCTCAGCCTCTGGGTTCAAGACCCACACCCCCGCTCTAGCATGACTTTATCTTAACTATTTCTGCAAGAACCCTATTTCCAAATAAGGCTCCATTCTGAGGTACTAGGAACTTCAACATCTCATTTTGGGTGACATGATTCAACCCCTAAGAGTTCCATGTATTTTGCAAGTACTCACGTTAGTTTCCTCACTCCTTCCAATTATTTCAGATGACTCTCTTTGTTAAGCCATAAACAGCTTATCATCTGCATATAATCAAAGTGTGGTGGCTCATCATCCCTTTATCCAAGCTGATTGGCTAGTACTTTATCACACATAGATAACAGGTATTCATAATCTTTAAAAATTTTGCTTCATTGTCTTTAAATTGGAATTTCATTACTACCAGAGTGTAGCAATAAAAAACAAAACGAAACTATCCATTTGTATTTCCTCTGTGAACTTTGTGTTTCTATCCTTTGTCTACTTTTTATACTGGGGATGTCAAAAATTAATTTGAAAAAGCTCTTGTGCATTAGAAGTTTTAACTTCTCGTAACATGTTGAAAATATTTTCCCCCAAGACTTCGAAAGCACCTTGTCAACTACCCAGCGGCCAATAGTACAAAACAGATGAAAGGTAGAGATCTACTGAAACACAGATTAATCAATCATATCTTTCCGTGCAAGTCCAATACAGGCACAAATACCTCTCACAATGTAAGAGCAGTAAGATGAATAGTGGCATGCAATGTAGATTTTTATGAAGCACTCTTGAAAATTTCAAGTATACTAATATTTATAACTTGTCTCCTAGTATACTATTTCCAAACCATTCAATTTCTTTTCCAGCTAAAGCACTCAAAGGAGCTTCAAGGACTAAATGATCTGATTAACCCTTTAGTACCAAATGCTTCACAGCTCTTGCTCTCACATACTCATCAAGTTTACACTGACATTTAAAGGTCCTAATGCCATCAAAGAAAGGATTAATCTGTCCTTGGCTTATCTAAATGACCAAAGAATAAGACTTAAGTGATAACTAGCTGTAGGATATGTCCTTATTAAATTTGATAGGATTTTTAAAAAGCCAAGTAATGTAATAAAGTTTGCAAAGTGATTTAGATTAAACAGGTTTGACTGCTCAATTTGGAAGTGATTCAGTGCACAGGTATAGGCATAAAGATACTTTCAAAATATTAGGCTTTGAATGCTGCTGACCAGAAAGTTGAGAAATGTTCAATGAATGCTACAATGTATTGTTTTTACCAGTTTTCACTGCTTATAAAATAAAAATGTGCTTATTTTAGGAGTATGCATTTTTTTTTCTCCCCACAAGTGTTACTCCTTCCCAAGAACTATTTACATAACTTATCAACGTGCTAAAAAAAACAGGAGAAAGGAAGGACAACCTTGATCTAGTAGGTTAACACTCACCCAGAAATATAAATGCCCCAAAAGCCCAGCCAGAAAGCCCCTGAGTACTTTGCTATTTTGTGGGCAGAGTACTTTGACAGCTCCCACTGGTCAAGCGCGTACAAGCGAAGATGCTAGGACTTGGAAATGTTCCTAATGACATTCAAGCCAGCCTGGATTTGGTCACTTTACTCATCCCACACCTTATAGCTTTCCTTATTCTATGCACATTCTTACTTGCTTATGAAGCAAAAATATCTAGACTTCAAATAAAACCTAGCAGATTTTAATTCTTGGTCATAAGTCTATGTAGTTTAATGATAAAAGATTAAAAGTTTTGTAAAGTATGAAACAAACAGTTTTATTAGATGAACTCATTTATTTGACACATTAAATTAGGCAAAGAAATATCTATGTAACTGCATAAAAAGAATCACATTCTCATACTACTTGAACACACAGCAGTGGTCAAAAATAATGAATTGTAGAATGGACCCCGGGACTTGATGAAAAAAACACTCTGTACAGAAAAGTTTCAGGCTTCTAACTTCACTGAGTCCAGTACTAAACGTGCTTCCTTATATTCTTCAGCTTCTTCCAAGTCTTTTTCACTTTCCTGAAATGAAATAGAATACAAATTAGGTCTCTCATTGTTAAATTTCAGTACTTTGCTATTTATTCAAATATTACAAACCATTAATGTAAGTAACTCAAAAATTAAGAGAAAAAAGATCCCAAACCTTGTTTAAATATACTATAATCCCCCAGGTATTCACTGTATATTTTATTACATGTATATAATATATCCTTATATATGAGTTATCTAAAGCTACTGACATTAATTAAGTAAAAACCTCAGAAAAAAATGTAAAGAAAATTTATATTCTCATTTTATCAACACATCATCATTATACAAAAGGGAAAAGTCAAAAGGAAGATTTACAAACATGTTACATATATGACAACATTCCGGCCAAAATAACACTCCAACACTCGCAATGATAAAGAAGACTACTGGTGTCATACCAGAGTTAAATATAACTTTAGAATTAGAAAAGTGATTTGCCTGCTTATTAATGAGTATTACATACCCTATACTAAAGAAAACAAAATGTCTTTCATTGACTGATATTTAAAGATTGAGTTTTTCTATAATACTGATATACAAGAAATGTTTACTAATATACTGTAATGGTAACAGACAAGCAAAATAATATCATTTAAATGATTACACACAGGAGATTTTGCTTGATTTTTAAAATGAAGTTATGTTCAGCAATTCATGTCAGATCAATAAAAAATGGAAAATAGTTATAGAGTAGAGGGAATGCAGTTTGTGTGTATTTAATATGAAAATTGCCAGGTGTGGTGGCTCACATCTATAATCCTAGCACTTTGGGAGGTGGAGGTGAGAGGACTGTCTGAGCTCAGGGGTTCCAGACCAGCCTGAACAACATGGCAAGATCTCATCTCTACAATAAATCATTAAAAAAAAAAATTAGCCAGGTGTAGTGGCACACGACTGTAGTTCCAGTTACTTGGGAGGCTGAGGCAAAAGGATCTCCTGAGCCCAGCAGGTCCAGGCTATGGTGGCTGTGAGCGTGCCACTGTACTCTAGCCTGGGCAACAGAGTGAGACTGACTCAAAAAAAAAGAAAGAAAGAAAGAAAGAAAGAAAACTTAGACCAGGCATAGTGGCTCATGCCTGTGATTCCAGCACTTTGGGAGGCCGAGGTGGGAGGATTGCTTGATCCCAGGAGTTCAAGACTAGCTTGGGCAACATAGCAAGACCTCATCTCTACAAAAAAATAAAAAAATTAGCTGGGAGCAAGGCTCGATGGCTCAGCCTGTAATCCCGCGCCTTTGGGAGGCTGAAGTGAGTGGATTGCCTGAGCCCACGGGTTTGAGACCCGCCTGGGCAACTTGGCGAGACCTCATCTCTACAATAAATCAAAATGAGTCAGGCGTGGTAGCGCCCACCTGTAGCTCCAGCTACTTGGAAGGCTGAGGCGGAAGGATCGCCGGAGCCCAGCAGGTCGAGGCTGCGGTGGCCAGAAGCGGCCACTGCACTCCAGTCTGGGCGACAGAGTGAGACTCCAACTCAAAAAAAAATAATAATAATAATAAAAAAAATTAGCTGGGCATGGTGACATGTGCTTGTAATTCCAGCTGCTCAGGAGACTGAGATGGAAGGACTGTCTGCGCCCAGGAGGTCAAGGCTGTGATGAACTGTGATCGTGCCACTGCCCTCAAGCATGGGCAACAAAGTGAGACTCTGACTCAAAGAAAAAAGAAAACTTAAAGCAAAAGAATGAGAATTTGCTTAGCTCACACTATAGGTAAGAATTTCTTTATTTCTTATAATTTAAACATGTCTTTGTTCTCTGTCAGTAAATATAAGTTCTTTGAGGGTAGAGATATTGTTGAATATATACTCACATGCAAATATTCATCCAAAGACATTACTTTTTTCAAGCAATTTCTATTACTTTCTCAGATACTAGATTTCATGAGAGAAAAAAGCATTTAAACTGTCAAGAAATACAAATGGTACTTCTTGTCTTAGGTAGCATTTTAACACAGTAATTATTTCCTGCTTTATCTATGTTCTGTATTATAGGCATTTATACCAGTAACTCTTAAGTGCTATCCAGCTCCACGTTAATATGAGGGGACTGCCTATATTTTTTTTCTCTCTCTAAAATTGACTTACATTTGAATCTGGAAAAATTCCAATCCTTTTAATAAGGACCCAAATTCATTTGAAACATCAGATCTTTTAAAATTACAAACGGTCAACTCATCCTTAATGTGTCAAAAAGATCTTCATATATAAAAAACAAATAATTCAATATATTGTTGGACAATATTGGTTTGATTATAACTTAAATATATTTAATTATTTAATATTTAATTAACTAAATTTAAATGAGCACAATAAACATTCTAGAAAACAGTACTTTTACTGGATATATAACTCAAAACACAAATTAAACTCCATTAATGATTTTAAAATATGCTGGTATACAGGGCAAGTAAATAAAAAATATCACCAACTAGTTCTCAGTATTAAACATTTAAATTTTTGGCCTTCCATGTATTTGATTAAAAAAAAATTTAAACCCAAGACAGACACGTTCACTTACTAACACCTGCTGGAGATCGGCGTAGGCTGCTTCCAACCTGCGCTGGCAATCTGGGATCATCATCCGGGACTCCTGCAGGATCTCTGCCTGTAATGAGAATCTCTGTGAGACGTGCAGAGACAGCAAAGCTCATGTGTGTGGAGCTCACACCTCGGTAAGCAGCTAATATCTCAGAACAGAAAAAATTATGGTCTGTTAACTGGCTCAAATTTTAACTTAAATTGTGTTTATTAGAATTTAGAAAGAAAGACTACCACATTGTAAAATCTACAAAGTACAAGTTTTAAAACAAAACCTTTTTCGTAATCGCCTTCTCATGCTAAGTGAAAATTAACTGGAAAAGCTTTTCATAGAGCATTTATTTTAAAAAAATCTATTTAAAATAAACTATTTCCCCTGCTGTCACAAAGCACCTTTATTCAAAATGGGATCAGCTGGTTATATAAATATCTCCTGCATCTTTTCAGTAATAAAGAAAAACAGTGTTCAGATAATATCACATGGAGATAATTACTGCACGAGAAAAGTTATTGAGTTATTGATCACATTGTGAGCACACTGCAGGAGGTTCTCAGTGAAAGACAGAGGTAAAGATAAATGAAAAGCAAAGACCAGCAGGTTCATATTTTTGATGCTTATCATGCATAAAAAGTTATTACTTATCCTTGTGCTTCATTTTAGGAGAGAGATTATTCTCCCCATGCAGTTTGAGCCAAATTACCAACGTGGCACCCCTCTGAATCTGAACCTCTTGCCTATTTCTCCTGGAGACATACACTACAGAATTAAACACAGAATATTTATTCTAGAGGACATTTCTGGACTTAAAATCCATCATTCAAAACTGGACTGTAACACATCAAATCACAAAACAAGAAAAAAAAAATCAAATCAATGACTGGAAAACCCAATCAGTAAGAGAGTAAATAAGTTAGTGCTAGCTGTTGGACCACAAATAAGACTTTTTCTTGGGTAACAGGAAGCTTTATTTCCTTTAACTATTCTCAGAAAAAGACAGTGAGATCATCTAAACATTCAGATCTAAAAAATAACATTTGGTCAAATACCTTGAAAGAAATGGGTTCAAGATCTGAGCTTTTTACTGAGATTATTAGTGAATATAAAATTTAAAAAAAGGCATACTTTAAAGGCAATAATATTGTATTTTAATAGAAACTTTAAGTCTCAGTACCTTCCTCCTTTCCCCAATAGTTGTCATAGCTCACACTATAAACAAAAAACCAGAATTATAATATATAAAGATGTTCTCTATCCACATCTATTTTCTACGTGAATATCTATTGCTGAACTTACAACTCTTTTACTAATAAGGTATATGTTGAAAATTTCAAACATAAGATCATGACTTTACTTCAGAGCCGATCATACTATGCTTAGATATTTAACTACTGTCACTAAATCATTTTTGCATATCTGGTTAGTTTGAACATATGTGAAAAATCAGTGACAGGAACAATTCATATTGGGTGATTCATATTTCCTCTCATGGAATTCTCTTCAGAATAGTTGACAGGAACTAAACAAGATAAAATAAATATAAGGAAGTAGGTCAAAGCCATGACAAGTCAAAATATGTATTTGTAAAACATTTTTTCAAAGCTTTAGTCACTGAAGTGAACCTTAAACAAAGATATCTAAAATAACATCTATTCATTATTATTTTATCTATTACTACAGAGCAAGAATCCTCAATTAGTCTATCAAAACAAGACACTGATTTCAGCAGGGTCAGAGTTCAGTTTTTCCCATATCCACCCCAATTCATTCAATGTTTACAATATGACTACAGGATGACAGCAGATACAGGGGTACAAAGATGAAAAGGAGAAGGTCTCCGTCCTCTAGTCCAGTATGGCGCATAAACATGAAAATAAACATCTGACATTGCTTCAAGAAGACCATGCCCCAGAAAGTCAAAGGAACACAGGGATGACTATGATTGGAATAAAAAAGACCCACATCTTTATCAAAGTCATAAATCACAGTTTACTTTGTAACAATGAATTGCAACTGTCTGGCATAATTTTTAAAAAGTGTGATTATATAATAAAGACAACTTGCAAAACACATGAACTTAACTAAATAAACATTATCTTGCAAAGTGTTTCCCTTGGGAAGTAGTACTCAAATGAATGGTACCTCTGTTTAAAATATCTGAATAAACTGTCAGTTAATTCTATGTTGACTATAAGACTGAGGTTAAATCATGACCATGACACAGATTGGGAGGGAACACAACAGGATGTAATCCTACTGAAGTTGTTGTTTTAAAAACAAGTTGTAGAGAGCTAGGTTTGGGGTGCGGGGGGAAGAGGAGGAAGAGCACAGGGTGAGAGTGAGCTGGACACTTCAGGAGGGAAATGGGGAGAAAGAAACAAAAGTTATGATATTTTTTGGTAGTTATTCAGGTTAAATGGAAGTTGTGGGAGGTTTAGCAAGGCTCAGATTATAACAATAAACAAACTGCTGAATACAAAATCGAATCAATTTCCTTTATAGTCAAACATATACATACTGGCGGAAAATACCCTAATGAACAGATCTTCATTTTTTCAGAAAGAAGAGTTCTGTGAAATAATCTGGTCATTGTCGGTCAAGTTATTCCGCTAATGCTTGACGACTGGGATACTGTTTCTAGCTTCCTTAGTGATCGAGACCATTTGTCAGAAGCTGGCTATAACTATAGCTATAATTTATAGATACTCGAATACTGGCTAGTAGCTGTCTCTGAAACCAATGGCAACCACATTAGTTTGCCACACGGAGCTCTAGAGTAATCCAGAGATTATAGAAACAATGGTTAAGTACCACCTTTAGATGGAGGTAAAATGTTAATGTGCTTAACTGTCAAAAATTCATTTGACTTGTATTTTGTAGTTACTGCTGAATGGGTAAGACTGTAAGAAGAATCCCACGAATCAAAATTAATTTCGGCCCTTAAGCTCTAACATATATAATTACTTTAAATGTAAATGATCTAAATACACCAGTTAAAAGTAGATTCACAAACTGAAGCCAACTACATGCTATCTACCAGATACTCCCTTCAAACATAATGAAATATGCCTGCGGTGGTGGCTTGTGCCTGTAATCCTAGCACTTTGAGAAGCCAAGGTGGGAGAATTGCTGGAGCCCTGGAGATCAGCCTAGGTAACACAGTGAGACCTCATCTTTACAGAAAATCAGCCAGGAATAGTGACGCATGCTCATAGTGCCAGCTACTAGGGACCTGAGGCGAAAAGATCGCCAAGGTTAGGATGTAGAGACTGAGGTGAGCTGTGATTGTGCCACTGCACTCCAGCCTGGGTGTTAGTGAGACTCTAACTCAATAAATAAACAAATAAATAATAAATAAATAAAAATTAAGACTGAGTTAAGTGTGTATTATTATCAATTGTAACATAATTTGCATGAGAAAAATCACTATGCGTTTATAAAGCTAACTTAAAAAATAAATTGTGAGATATAGTCTGTATAAACTGGTTCACACTCTCCTTTTTTTCCTCTCTTTTAGTGTTGTCAGGATTTTATTGTAAATGCTTCAGATACTGGATTTTAAGTAGAGGAGCAAGTGATCTGATGTTCACTTTAAAGAAACCAATTTGGCTGTTGTGGTGGGGAAGAAATGGAGGATGTCAAGACTCAAAGAGATATGCCAATCATGAGGCTTCAACAACAGTACAATCAAGAGTTGATGGTAGACTGGACTAGAATGATGACAGTCAAGATACAAATAGAGGGAATAAGAACTACGACTTCATGATATTGGATGTGACTATTAGAAAGGGAGAAAAATATCAAAGAACTCATTAAATTTTTGGTTTGGGTTAGGGTTAGTGAATGGAGGTACCATTTACTGAGATGGGGAAAATGGAATCACTTTTTGTTTGGGAGGGTAGGTTGGGCTGGGGGAAGATCAAGATTTTTATGTTGGACACCCAAGAGGATATGTCAAACAGGTGGTTAGTTGAATGTGTGTATCTGGAGTGATCAGGCCCAGAGACATAAACATGGGAGCCGCTGGCACTAGAACGAGTGCCAAGTAAGAAGGAACCCCGGTTTTTTTGTTTTGTTATTTTAAATGCCATGACTAAAAGAGTGCTGAGAACAGTATATGGCATCTAGCAGGTGTTTAATAAATATCTGCTGAATGAATAAATGAATAGTCATAAAGATGGTGTTTAAGGCTATAAAAATGGTATGAGACTGCCCGGGAAAGAAATTATAGATAGAACTCTTAAAGCTTAAAAAAAAGTATATATACAGAGGGTGACAAAAAAATGTGAGAGATGTTATCTATGTATTACTTTTTGAAGATAAATTAGACTACAGTAGCAATGTGTAGTATGATGTTCACTCAACTGTGCTTCCACAATTGTCTTTGTCCTGCCTGTCACATGGCGATGCTAGTATTTATTTGATTAAGGCCATCTTTTAAGCAAACATCATACTTAAACAGTGTATACATTTTTTGGCATTCCCTGTACATATGTGTAACGGGGGAGAAATTCAGCAAAGGACACTGAGACATGATAGCAGTGAAACAGGGAAACCTAGGAGGCTGGTCTATCAAAGATGCCAACATGAGAGAGTTTCAAGAAGAAAGTGGTTATTTACTTGTGTCAATGCTGTCAAGGTATGTAAGATGAGGAAAAAGAAGTTCTAATGTTAGCTGATAGTTACAACAAGCACTCGGGCACACAATCCACTCTCACAGCAAGGAAGGTAGTACGGGTACAGATGCAGACAGGTTGATTTTGTGGTGGGAATTCTGTGATGGGAATGTGAGAAAGTTCCCTGATAGCCTCTATCTTCTCAGGGAATTATGAAGCAAGTGTCAGCTAAGAATGAACTTTCAATAAATGACATGAAGAAAGGTATTATGAGAATGCAAAGGAGGGGCATTTAACTCAGTGCAGAGGTAAGTATAGAAGAGATCAGAAGGATGAACAGAAATTAATAAGGTGAGGGTAGGTAGGAAGAACAAAAAGAACATTCCAGATGTACAAAATCTCACAGACAAAGGAGAAAAGGCATGTTGAAGGAGCTAAAAAGCCAGGAACCTAAAATGTTCAGGTAAGAACTGGTAAGAAAAGAAGTTAGGGAAATAAGCAAATGCCAAAATCAAAAAGAGTCTTGTATGCTATGCTAAGGGCACTGAAATCTGTTATGAGGACAATCAGAAATAGCCACTGAAAAGCGTAATACATGTTTTATTTTGTTGGTCTTCAAATCAGTTTGGAGAAAATAATCTGTGAATTGAAATATATAAGTATATTTAATGTAAGATTAGCTCATTTTTATATGTAATACTTAAGAATACAGATTATAGAAGCTGTGTTCAAATCCCAGCCATATTTTTACAGCATTTGTGTGATCTTGAGCAGTTATTTAACTTGTGTTTCAGTTTCCTTATCTTTAAATGGATGTTTTAGTAGAAAAGTATAATAGTATCCTCTTGGAGGTTGCAAAGACTACATTAGTCAATAAAGTATTCTGTAAATGTTAACTATTATTATTTATGATACAATTTTACCTGCTTTTTAATGGCATAATTTTCACCATCTTCAGCTCTCATTTTTTCAATCTTTTCTTCTTGCTGTTTTGCTTCTTTTTCATACATCACTTTTTCTTTGACCAATCTAAAAATAAGCCAAAAATGTTCCAGAGAATTAGCTTTCTCTCTACAGAACAGACAAGAAACAAAGAAACGATGTAAATATAAACCATACTTATATTTAAAATGCTGAAGGAGATATACTAGATGGGGGGAATGGAGGAAGGGAAGAAAAATACTTTAGTCATAGATCCTTGTGCACTTGAGTTTTATAACTTGCCTAATGCAAGTGTAATTTATCAAAGCATGAAATTCTCAAATTAAAAACCCATTCCATTATGTTATAAAGACAATGTGAAAACACACTCAAAATTATTATGTACTAACATTTCTATCTTGTTTTTATTGATACATTTTCCAAACCTTTATACAGATATTTGAAACAGCTTAATGGTTAAAAACTCAGTTTACTGGGGGGAAAAAAATCAGCTGTATTTTTGTGTTGTATGCCAAATCCAAAGAAAGATTATTTTCAACAACAAAATTGTTTAACAAGTATTTATTATGCACTTAATTTTATGCCAGACTTTGCTTGTGCGAGGAGCTGGGGTAGATAATTTAGACATAGTTTTTTTGCAGACAAGTAGTGGAAACAAACTAGTATTTACTTACTAAAACAAGAAAAAGTAGTGATATAGATTAGGAAGATTTTCAGTAATAAGGAATAGTGCAATACAAAGTCCTCCTGATTATTTCTTAGCTAAGCAAAACTCAGCCATAATAGCTCAATCTCCCTTAATTCTGGTTAATCAAAGTTTTAATATAAAAGTATAGCCCAAGAAAGTAGTACATTCCTATATACACATTATTTAAGCAGCAGAACAAAAAGCTTTCAGAGTCCATACACCTTAAAAACAGTTTTCTAAGCTGGGCTCGGTGGCTCAGCCTGTAATCCCAGCATTTTGGGAGGCTGAGGTGAGTGGATTGCCTAAGCCTGCGGGTTCGAGACCCGCCTGGGCAACTTGGCAAGACCTCATCTCTACAATAAAAAAAATAAAAATAAAAAAAAATTAGCCGGGCATGGTAGCATGCGACTGTAGTTCCAGCTACTAGAAAGGCTGAGGCAGAAGGATCGCCGGAGCCCAGGAGGTCGAGGCTGCAGTGGCCGGGAGCGACCACTGCACTCCAGTCTGGGTGACAGAGTGAAACTCCAACTCAAAAAAAAACCCAAACAAACAAACAAACAAAATACAGCTTTCTCCATCTGGCTTGCTTGCTTACTTCTATACCCATGTTGCTAGGCTGTAACTTTAAAACTTAATAACTATATTAGAGTGTAGCTTTTGTTTAATTTTTGCAATGAATATTTTTTTAAAGTGCATTTCAAAATGTGACTTAATTTTCATATTCTAATAGGACTTAATATAAGTTCACATAACTAAAAACAAAAATAGAAACTAACAACCAAAAAAACTTTTGTCATAGTATCTGAAGGAATTTAAAGTAAGAATTTAAATCACCACATAAACTACATATGAAATACTAAATGTTCCAGGTTGGAACTTTGAGATATGCTAGCAAGGCTCATCCTCTCCCTCATGATCTTGTATTATTTATACAGATAGGAGGAAATACAACAAAATGTTTACAGTGACATAAGGTGGCATATTATGTGACCCTCTTACACTACCCCAAAATACCTCCAAATGAAAAAACAAGTACAAAATACAGTATGTATTTTATGCTGTCTTACATATAAACAAAAAAAAGGATACACACAAAACAAATAACAAAGGACACATAGGAAACTACTCGGTGGACAAAAGTCCCAATGATTTTTGGGGGGTGGTCAGTTAGGAAATAAATAGGGAGGCTTTATTTTACATTTTTCAATAAAGTTTGTGGGTTTCCCTCATGTATAAATATTTCCTTTATCAGAAAAGATAGATGCCAACATTATCTCTGAGTGGAAAATTTTTAATATTTTTAAAATCTACTTTTCCTGTAGTTATATTTCTCTAAATTTTCTGGAATAAAGTAAGATTCGATTAGAAAAGATAGCAAATCCACTGAATTCTCTAAACATTGCTGTTGCAAGTTCTGTAAATGCTACTAGTTAAGATAAACACAAAGTAATAACTTCTTGTATTGTGAAGGTATAATTAACCAAAAATACTTCCCATTAGTTTTACAAACCAACAGAAAAAACATAACAACTTCAAAATTTGCTCACTTTCAGTAGTCAGACACATACTACACAAGAAGAAAATAAATAAGAGCAAGAGAAAAAGACAACTATAAGAAGGAGTAATATAAAGAAACAATAACAACCAGGATGATAATCAAATGAAACTACTTAACTGTGTCTGTATAAGGTATTACAATTTAATATATCCAGTCCAAACTAGTTTGAACAGTTTTAAAAATTATTCCATGGCAACGCAGTAGTCAAATTAGCTTAAAAACACTGCTTGCCAAATCTTAAAGATTTATGATTGTTAAAGGTCCTGAGAAGTCTTATGGGAAGGAAATCTGTTTAACTTTGTTCAACTGCAAATTTACTTGAACCAAAGAGGACTTCTTCCACCTCAGCATTCTCCAAAACAGTTGCCTCTCAACACAAGTTTGAGTGAAAGTGCTTTGTACACTTTTCAAAAATGTGCACAGAACACATTTTAAACATTCTGTTGATAAAATGCTAACAATAAAATTTGGGGGCAAATCAAGAATTTAGAGACCTTGGACTAAAAACATTTTAGACCAGTCATGATTTTAATTTTACAGTTTTTCTTATTGCAAGTAAGATTTTCATAATTTCTACCTAACACACCAACACAGTTAATAGCGGTAAGAGGTGGCTCACGCCTATCCATCACTTTGAGAGGTCAAGGTGGGACAATCACTTGAGCCCAGGAGTTCCAAACCAGCCTGGGCAACACAGTGAGACCTAGTCTCCACAAAAATTTAAAAAATTAGCAGGTGTCGTGCACTTGTAGTCTTAGCTACTTGGGAGACTGAGGCAGGAGAAGCACCTGGGCCCAAGAGCTCAAAGCTGCAGTGAGCCATGGTCATGTCACTGAACTCCAGTATGGGTGATAGAGTGAGATCTCAACTCAAAAAACAAACAAATGAACAACAACAACAAACTTTATAAAATGGTAAGAAACTGTAATAGAATGATATTTAGAAAAACATCTTGTCGTGGATATTTAAAACAAAAAATATAGAGAAAAACAGCATGATGGATACCATGTACTCACCACCCGGTTTTAACAATTATTAATATGTTGGCAGTCTTGTTTTATCTATCTCCTACAACTAATTTATTCATTATTGTATTCTTAAAGACTTTATCTTCAGTTTGATTTTCTGAGGTTAAAAAGCCTGTATTCTCCCTACCCCCTTAAACAATATATAAAAATTAACTCAAAATGCATCAACCATCTAAATGTAAAAGAGAATTATGAAACTCTTGGATGAATCACAGGGGTAAACCTTGGTGACCTTGAATTTGGAAATGAATTTTTAGATGAGACACCAAAAGTATAAGCAACAAAATAAAAAAATACATAATAAGTTGAGTCTAGAAATCTTACTACTGTCTTTTAACATTTTCAATTTAAAAAGATATATAAAACAATTCTGAGGTAGAACGAAAGTGATTCACAAAAATTGAGGAATAAGAACAATGTGAGGATTTTTGAAGTATACAATAGAAGAGGAGTCTATGCCTAGGCCAACAGACAATTATAACCCACGCCACCCTAGTTCACTGTGCTTGTATATGGAAAACAGCAGCAATGGCACCAGCAAAACTGGAGAGACACTTAACTACTAATCATATCTGACAAGTAAAGGTGCTGAATATTTGCATGACTACTGGACTATAATAACAAACACAAGCAAAATTTTTGTGAAAAAAGTCATGTTTTATGCAAAGGTTCACATATAGCACATACTGCCCTGAAAAAAGAAAAAGCAATTATTCAGTTAATGAGAATCCTGTGATGCCAGCATGTAAAACTATTGTGAATAAATGCTAGGACAAGATGCAGCATGAGAAATAGAAACAGTTCTGCTCTCAAATAGTATAAACCAATGTACTGATGTCAAGTCGCATGATGCTGAAGAAGTTTTAGAGTATAGTTCATTGGATATCACCAAATTGCTTTCCTAAATGGTTTTTTTTTTTTTTTGAGTCGGAGTCTCACTCTGTCACCCAGACTGGAGTGCAGAGGCCGCTCCCGGCCACCGCAGCCTCGACCTGCTGGGCTCCCGCGATCCTTCCACCTCAGCCTTCCAAGTAGCCGGAACTACAGGCATGCGCTACCACGCCCAGCTGATTTTTTGATTTATTGTAGAGATGAGGTCTCGCTGCCCAGGCGGGTCTTGAACCCGCGGGCTCAGGCAATCCATCCTAAATGGTTTTATCAATTGACACCCAATCTGCAGTGTATGAAATTTTCTACTTCTTCTTGGCATCCTGATGGACAACTGAAATTGTATAGTTTGAAATATTAACTTCCCTAAAATTGAATATCTTTATCTATGCTTACTAAAATAAGTTACAAGATGAGTATTTTTTTTTTTTAAATCAATGAAGGAATATCTTCTTCTCTTTCTAGGGAAGACTAAGATTTAATACGAAAATTTACCTTAAGTTATGTATAGTTCTAATTTTTAAATTTGCTATGAAAATATTTTTCTGTAACATATATATGAGAGGGAATCCCCAAAAATTGTAGTACAGGCTCCCCTGCTAGGTGTTTCAGGAATCCATTGGCATCAGTGTACCAGCTAGTGAGGCTGTATTTGACTTCAGTTATTTTTTTTTTTCGGAGAGTCTTAACAAGTTTGTCTATTTCATGATGGGTGATTTACACAAACAGCCTGCCTATACCACATTGAGTATTCAGAAGTTTTTGACCCAAAACAGCATGACTCCCGTGCCCCACCCTCCCTATTCAACTGAGTTGTGTTTTTTTTTTCTCCCAAATGAAAAAAGTCATCAATGGGAAACGTTTTGCCCATGTGGAAGAGGTAAAACAAAAAAGGGCAGAAGCACTAAAAGGCACCCAAATGGATGAGTTCAAAAACTGTTTTGAGTAATGGAAAAAGTATCTCAAT